GGAAACCATCGTGGACGATGAGAGGCCTTACCAAGTGTTGCCTTAGAGAAGGCTGCAGCTCAGGAAGAGGTGTGCAGCTGTGTAGTAGCTTCAGGGGTCCTCACATCCATTGTGCTTAGCCACGGTAGCTGCTGTCATACTTTAGGGGCCACTCTTAGTGGTCTGATCTCAAAACTTCCCCAAGACAACCTCGCCGAGTCCTCATTCAGTGCGAGTCCAAGAAGACCTGGGTATCCAGAGTCTGGTGCCACAGGAGGAAAGTTGAAAATACTAGGGTTCAGCCCTAAGAGTGTGCAAGAAAGAATCAAATGCCACTGGAAGGGGAGCTGGGGAACAGAGCGGCGGGACATGGAATTAAATCAGTGACCCAGCCTTAGCGGTGGGAGGAAGAAATTCAGAGGTGGCCCCAGTCAAGATGGAAGCCAAAGGAGGTCAGGAGTCAGGTCACCACAGCAGGGGGGCCCGGGGAGCCAGCAGAAGGCAGCCAGCTGGGCAAGGGGTGCCTTGGGGAAATTTGAAATTTTGCTACCATTTGTGTTAAAAAAAAAAAAGAAGAAAATAGTGTGTGTGTGTGTGTGTGTGTGTGTGTGTGTATGTGTGTGTATGCACACATAGGGCTCCTCTGGAAGGCAGCAGAAATAGCAGTTACCTTGGAGGAAGGAAATTGAGTAATAGGGGAAAGAGTGGCAGGGAGACTTTGCCTCTGAGCTCAGCACCATGTGCACCACATGTCACCTGCTCCAAAACTGTAATTAAAGCAAGCTAAATACCAAGCACTCAGGCTACAGGTGTGAAGATGCAGAGGGCCTTGGAAGTCACACTTCAGCTGCACAGATTGGCGCACTAAACGATACGATAAAGGATATTTCCAAGTTTGTAAAACTAATAAGGTGCAGAGGTATGAGAAGAGTTCCTGTTTATTGTTTGATACCAGTGCTTAAAGGAATCAGCTTTGAAGCCCTGCACATCAGTAGCCTGCCTGCCTGCCTTTCTTCCTCTTTCTTTCTTTCTCACTTGCTTACTTACTTTTTCTTTCTTCTCCTCTTCCTCCTTCTTCCTCTCTCTGTCTGTCTCTCTGTCTCTCTCTGTGTCTCTCTGTCTCTGTCTCATCTCGTCTCGTCTCGTCTCGTCTCATCTCGTCTCGTCTCCTCTCCTCTCCTCTCCTCTCCTCCCCTCTCCTCTCCTCTCCTCTCCTCTATTCTTCTCTCCTCTCACAATGTTTCCAAATCTGATCTGGAACTCCTTGGCTCAACTGCACACCAGACAAAGATGCTTAAGATTAACATTCTTTATTGATCAAATGAAAATCATGAAGTCATCATGAAGAGTAAATTCAATAGGGGCCAGGGAAATAGTTTAGTAGGATAAGCACTTGCCTGGCAAATGCAAGGGCCCGAGTTCAATCCCCAGTTCCAACAAAAAAGAGAGAGCAAATTTGATAATGCGTGTTCATCCTAGTGCCTAGCACATAGTCAAGCATTCTGTCAATGGTAGTTGTTTTTTCTTTTTGAGCCTTTCATGGAGTTGAACTTGGCTGGAGAAGGGGGCTGAGGGAAGCTGTCATAGGAGTCACTGGAAATAAAGGCTTGTAGGATACAGAGAAAACACACACACACACACACACACAGAGAGAGAGAGAGAGAGAGAGAGAGAGTCCTGGATCCTCACTTATTTAAAGAGATACTAGAGAATCTGAGAGGGCAAATGGTGCTCAGTGTAGAAAGCACACAGGAAGGTGTGTATGTGAGGATGTGTATCATGAGAGAGTTTCCGGCCCTTTTAACTCCACAATGCTCCAGGGCCACCTCTGACCCGCACTGTCTCCTGCTGAAAAGTGACCATGCACAAGCCAGGACCATCTGGGGACACGTCTTTCCTTCCCGCTTCCATTCCCATGGCCAGCGTGCCCTCAGCATTCCTGAGAGCTGAGTTCTCCGCCTCTTTTCCTTTTCTTGGGGCTGTGGGTTGGGTAGGACTCAGTGTTCTACTGGGAACTCAATCCACTTCCCTTTGAGGTGTGTAAAAGAGGTCTCTTTCTGGGGGTGGCACCTCAGCAAAAGCCCCAATTCACTCATTACCCCTCCCCCACCATGCCAGGAAGAAATCTAGAGGCGGAGCATGGGGTCCCCTCTTGGGGTCCTCCCCAACTTCATGGTGGTCAGGCCCTCACTGCTCCCAAACTGAGGGAAAACAGAGTGAGTTTAAAAGCTCAGGTTCCGGAGCTAACTGAGTCCAAATCTTCACTCTGCCAAGTAAGTTCTGTGACCTAGGGTGAGTTGTGGGAATTTTTGTCTCAGTGTCCATCTGAAAAAATAGTGGGGACAAAATGAGATCATCTAAACGCAGGGAACCGATTAAAAGCTGAGTGTCCTGATGGTGTGTGTGGCGAATGCTGCCACCAAGTATCATCCAATCAAAGGCAGGCGGCCTGACAAAATGAAGACAATCGTCCTCATCAGTCTTGTTCCTGGATCTGGCACCGTGAAACTCTGGCTTCCCCCAAAGTCAGAATGGTCATGATAAGCAAGCACTCTGAGTACACTCAGGCCACCAAGACAGCCTGGACAGTTAAGGTAAACACACTCAGGAAGGAGGCCTTCCAGAACTGTCTTAGAAAGTGGCGAACTTTGGGATACGTGTGTTCAAAGCAAGAGGGAGGACTTTGAGGGATAAGTGGCAATGTGTCTTTTAGTGTAATAAACTTTTAAAAAACCCACTCTTAAACATTTACCACATTGTTCAGTCAAACCCTGTACAAGTGAAGAATTCAGGAAGTTATGCTGTGCAGTTTGTGATCGGTTCCTGGGTGCTGTTTCTCTGCGTGGTTACTGAATCGACTGCTGATGCTGCGGGACTCTGAAGTGTGACACCAACTGTGACACTGGGAATGATTAGATGGTGTCATTCGTAGTCGCTCAGCTTCCAGGACCAGATACCCCAGGCCATGTGGCTTGAACAGCACATGGACTTCTTATAGTTCTGGAAACTGAAAAGCTCAAAATCAAGGTGCTGGCTGAGCCAGCATCTGGCTAGGGCCCTCCTGGCTGTGTCCTCACACCTTGGGGACACTTGCTCATCTCTATCTCTTCTGTTCAGGGTACCAACCCCATCACAGGATCTAAGCCCGATCCTGGCCCAAGGCCCCACCCCACATCCTATTCAATGCGGTCACTTTGAGGACTAGATCCGAACACATGAGTGGGGGACAGGCATAGAGATTCAGTCCCTGGCAGCAACCAAACTAGTGTTTTTATTCCTTTAACCCAAACCAAAGGAAGTTGCTGTCTTGCAATCACAGAGGACAATAGAATGTGGACACCCCTTTCCCCGCCCAGGCCTAACCTGTGCCAAGTGTGGCTTAAAGCTGTTAACTTCTCCTTTCACCTTGCCCCTCACACCTTAGGAAGAACTTCTACCCATGTTGTCACCTTTGCTGTCCTTTCCTAGGACGTAGGTGGCATTTAATGTGTGTATTGTTGTAATGGTAAAGTAAACTTTTCAAAGGAAGATTCCCTTAGAGAATAAGAAAGAGCAAGCAACATAATTAAACACCCAGTGGGTCCCCATCTCTACGGAAGGAACCCCAACCTCCCTCGCCATAACCACAGTCCAGCCAGGGAAGGGAAGGGTTTTTCCAGTGGTTATCAGGCCGGTGGTTCTTTCCTATCCTGCAGTGAGCTACACCACGGGCTTTTATGACATCTGAGGTTCAGACAGAACAACTGTGCTCACATCTTGATAGTACGGCCAGTTCCACAGAAGTGTTGTAAAAAATATTGCTGGAGCTTTCTTATTCCCCAAGGAAATCCTGCTTTGAAAAGTCCACTTTGCCAATGCTATATACACTGTATTTTATTTTGAATCTAGGAGAATTTGTCATATATCTCAGTGGCTGATTCAGTGTTCTAGAGAGTGTGAGACTCAACACTGAAACCTAAGTTGTTACTCTGAGATTGAAGAATTCTTTTCCATTTATTCAAAACAAGAACACAAGGAGTAGGGATGCAGGTCAGTGCTAGGGGGCTTGTCTAGCATGCCTGGGTTCAACTCTAGCACCAAAAAACCAAAACAACAAGACAGAACAGGCACACAGGGTACATTCCCTTGCTTCTGTTTTATTTATTTGTTTGAGTCTGGACGTCTTGAGTGTGCTGGGCAACTGTCTCAGGCACTTGCTTTGTGCCGTAGACCCAATACCTGATGCCCACAGCTTACAGAAGAGAGCGGTTTGTTTGGGCTCATGGTTTCCACAGTTGCCTGGCTCCTCTGGAGATGCAGGACAGCAGAGGGCCCAGGAGAGGAAAAATGCTGTGCCCAGGCAGCCTAAAAGCATTGAGGGGGGCGCAGAATCTAGCCAAGGATACAGCCTTCCAGGTCATGCCCGAGACCCAGCAAGGCCTGGCTCCTGACCGGGCACTCAACTTTGAACTCACCCATGGGTGAATGAACCTTTGAGGACAACAGCCTGATCCAGTCACCTTCCAAACACATGGAGCTATTGTGGGACATTTTAAATCTGAGCTTTAAGACCAAGTCAGTCATCTACCACTGAGCTGCGCCCTCAGCTCCATTCCTTTACATCAGAATGTGTTACGTGGCATAAACTTCACTTTTAGAAAGTATAATTTAAATTCATTCAGAAATTTTGTGAAAGCATCATGATGTCCTATGGGAATGTCACACAGTGTGGCTTGGGGGATTGCCCTTGACACAGCAGAGCTTGTGATCCTGCCTTCTTAAGTGTCCCAAGAATGTGGTCAAGGCCAACCTGCCTGCCCTGGGGGAGCTTTGCCTCTATGTTTCGCTTCCATGCTGAGTATTTTCCTGGCTTGAGTTCCCCTTGTGTTCAATCAATGTGCATGTCACACTGAACTGCAATACCAAGTACAGAGGATTAAGCTTATCAGTGCATGCATCTCGGACAGATTTCGAAATCACTGGGACCATAACGTACGAGCTTTGTCTCCATGGCAATTTCATTTTCACGTGTGTTCCTACAGGTAGTGGTCAAGACTCAGAAGAGTCAGAAGATGGTACCCAGGAACATAACAAAACCAGTGAAGAGACTATATCAAGCACAATTACTGCGGTGACCCCGGAAGTATTTCTTGCAGAAACAAATTCTACCCACCTTGGAGAGGACTCAGATCAGTTAGAGTTTACGCTCATGGTGCTGATCCCACTGATTTTATTGGGCGTCGTACTGGTATCGCTGACACTCCTTGCAGCATACTATAAAAGAAAGAGAAATAAACAAGGTAAGGATTGAGTGTATGCCACTTTCAGAAAATCGCCTTATACATTAATGAATAATCATAAAATAAGGATCCTGTTTTTCTTCTACACAGAGTCTTCTAGCCAAGGATCTCAAAGTGCTTTACAGACATGTGAGTATTGTCCTGACATCGCTTAGAATTGGAGAACACTAGGGCAGTGAAGGTTTTTATTTTGTGGTACTGGGGATTGAACTCAGGACCCTATGCTTGCCAGGCAGGTGCTTATTCTACTGAGCTATCTCCCTAGCCCTGGGAAGTGATGTTTTTGTAAATTAAGCAAAAATAATTGTAAAAAGTACTAAGTGATGAATTATATATTTCAATGAAATTTCCATAAGATAATAATGTGATAATAATACATTTCTTTTTTTAAAGTAATGTTTTAGCTTATATGAAAATATAGTTTGGCCTATATACAAATTTAAAGTATACTTCTGCAATCTCTCTAAGTAATCTGGATAAGTTGTCTTGGTTACTGGCCTCCTCACCAGGCACAATGCCCAGTGCGCGCAATTTGAAGGAGAGGTTTACCTTGGCTCACAGTTTCAGCCCATCGTTGGCTGGCTCCAGGGAGGTCAGCATGCTGGAAGGGCTTGGCCAAGAATTGCTGCTCGCAACATGGTGGACAGGAGGCAGGGAGCAAAGGGAGGAGCAAGGGAGGGGGATGAACCCTTCCAGGCCACACCTTAATGACCACCTCTTCCTACCAGGCCAGGGTCTTTATATGTAGCCATTGACTCATCCATGGACTAATCAGCCTCTGAGGATAGGGGCCCCAGGAACCAATCACTTCCCCAAAGGGTCACCTAGGGGTGCATGAGGTTTGGGGGACATCTAGATATAAACCATAATCTTGACTAAGAGACCAGTGTCGCACGTCCCCTGTATGCAGAAAGGTCGGGCTGGTGCCACTGGATCAGCCTGGGGTTGTGATTGGTCCAGCATGGGTGTCCATCCCTCGCCCCCCACATCCCGATGCGATCTGGAGAATGGCCAAGAGAAACAGTATTCTTGTTCCCATCACAACCATGCCACCTTTCATGAGGAAATTCCTAATGGGATGGAGATTACTGATACCAATCCTGAACCAAAATAAAAAATTCCCAAGATTAGATGTTCATTCTGAGAGTACATTATGTTTTGTTCTGCAAATGAGTTTTTCTTTTTCTTCCTTCTATTTATTTATTTTTGGTATCTCTTTGTCTTTTTAACTTTTTTTTGAGACAGTGTATTGGTATATTGCTTATGCTGGCCTCAAACTCCTGGGCTCAGTGATCCTTCTGCCTCAGCCTTCCCCATGGCTCCTCCTCCTCCCTCCTCCTTTCCCCTTCCTCCCTTCCTCCTCTCCCTGCCTTCCTCTCCTCCTTTTCTTGCCCTAGGGGAAAGTAAAAATTTCCTGCCCCAGACTCCCAAACAGTCAAGGGAAGGGGGCTGGGAAGGTTGAGGTGTCCAGTTAGAGAGTCCTGCCCTTCTGTTTTACAACCAGAAATGGATTTTCCTCTGAACTTTCCTGTGAAAGTCCCTGTTGGGAAGCCACCAATGTGCATAAAGGGGCCTCATCTGCAGACAGGGCCCATGTGCCTGGCACCGTGGCCCCTGGGAGCATGGCTTCCCTTGTGGACGCCTCTGTGTTGGAAGATGCTACCTCCTCTGCTTCACAAAGCGCCACCCTGCCCTTCAGCACCCAGGCCTAAGGAGTGCTGTGAGGTCCTGGCTGATCATTCCTTGGGTAATATTCCTCACAGCCTCTTCCTCCTGTGCTATCACAGCTTTGTCTTTCTTACCTTATTATGTTCTCTTTAACAGCCCAAAGAATCACAAACTTGTCCTACTTATTCTGTTTGGCATTGTGGCATGAAGGTTCGGAGTTTGGACTCCAGAACCAAACATACTATATGGCTACCTTTTGTGTTCTTTAGCTCTATGACTTCCATGACTCAGTGTCCTCATCTGTAAAACTGGAAAAATCCAGTACCTTCCCCATAGAATATGAAAATCATAAATAAAAATATATAGATTTCTCTCTATACATGTATATCTTGGTTTGCAAGCAAAGTTCATTGCAGAAACATGCTTATAATCTGAAGCACTTGTATATCAAAGGCATTTTCCCAAACAAAAGAAACTCAGATGATTCATTCCACAATCCCCAAATATTCATATAAAATGATTACAAAAATGTATTACAATGTTTTGTAATATAATACAAAATAACAAGGATCATAAAAATAAAGGAAAGTAGCCTGCACGCTGAAATTCTTCGTGGCTAGTGGGAGGGAGACAGGAGGGAGGAGGGCCATTGTGTGGGAGCCCTTGGGAGTCGCTGCTGTCCATTGGCTCAGGGGAATCATTTCTTTCGATGCAGTTTTAACAAGGAATCTACCAGTGACACCTGCTTTGCCTCCTTTTGAAGATTTCATGGAAATGTGAATGTAATTGCAGTGTTGTCACACAGATCCATCCCTTGCTCTGTACAGCCTCATTTGGGTGGCACGTTTCTAAAAAGATTTTTTACCATTTCCCACATTTTACACATCGCGTTTGAAGTGAGGGCTCCTCGGCCTTCTCCTCCTCCTCCTGTGCAGGTGAGATCTCTATAACCTCTTGCTGTTGGAGACAGTCACCCATGATCAGGTGTGTGTGTGTGTGTGTGTGTGTGTGCGCGCGCGTGTGCTGAGGGGAGTCTTTTGGCTCACTTGGGATCATGCCGTCTGGAGTCATGTGCTACTCCTATTAGAAGACATCACATGTTTATTAAGTTAAAATGTATTAAAAGTATTTGCTCATCTTGCAGAGCACTCAGAACAAGTACCTACCACCCAATGTGTGTGTGTGTGTGTGTGTGTGTGTGTATCTCACATATGTCTTATCCACCATATATACCTCACATATATCATACATGCCAATACACCTAACATATACCATCTCTACCATGGATGCATACCCAACCTTATCTATATATCTATCTAAAACTGGAAAACATAATGCCGGGCCCAGTAAGAGCACAAGTGCTCGCTTCTCACGATCTCCTTACTACATAATGCCTAGCCTAACATGTACTAGCTGATTGATACAAGTTTATTCAATAAATGAGCTAAGGAAAGAATGCTAGGATTTTATCACAAAGAACATCTGTTCCTCTCGGAGATAAAAAAATGAATTTGTGCATTAGCCTCATTCCAAGTTGGTACATTGTGCTTGAGTTTAAACATGCCTCGATTTAAGAAAGTGCAACAGAGAACACTTACAGTTTCCAAGACGGTCACTCATCGCGAAATGTTTCTGACGGAGCGCGTTCGTCTGATCTTTTCTCTGCTGGCTGTTGCTTTTCTGCAGATACAGGTAACACCTCCCAAGCCGAACGCTGGAGGGCGGGCAACCACGTCCCGTTGCTGCGCACGCGTTCATATTGAACGTTGCGACGCAAGTCTATAAAAGCAGAATACATGCGTGAAATTTATGTACTCCCCCCCCCCCGTAAAAATAAAAGTGTCACCTTGCATCAGGCAGAGCAGCGTTTGGGGACGTTCCGGAGGAAAGCTCAGTGAGAGGGCGCGGGTATCTGCATCCTTTACGCCCTGGGAAATCAGGAACAGGTCTGCTCTTTCTCCGTGCGGCAGAGTCCCACCCCTCCGAAGAGAAATCTTCAACTCTGGCAGTGGGGTGTACTGGAGTGGCATTTTGAGAAAGGATCCTCAGTTTGGTTGGAAGTTCTTTTCTTCATTTCTTTTTGGCTGGGGCTGGACCCCTGGGCCCCCACGTGCTGAGTGTGACCTCCCCCACCAGCTACAGTCACCCCTAATCGCCTTCTCTCTCTGGCTTGTCTGGTTTATGTGCTGGAAAAGGGAAGCATGCTGTCGTTTACGTTCTGCTATCATTCTTCCTCGACCTGCAGGCACTAAATGTGTAGCTGTTGCTATTTAACATTTAATAAGCGTCTCGTGTGCTGGGTGTCTGAGCGCTGCAGCGAAAACAGCTGGCAGGAAACCATTGCTTCAAGCAGACGGCGGCTACACGATGCCTGGCTCTGCTCCGGAAGTCTCCCAGGAAAGAGGATCTTGTGCTCACTGCTCAGGAGGGAAACAAGATAAGAAGGCCAGAGCCTTCCAGGCTCCTGCGCCCCCAGCCCCCACTGGCCAAGCCCACCTTGGGCTGCGCAGGAGGAGAGGCGCTGAGGGTGCAATCAGGGTAAGGGGTGCAGTGCAGGAGCTAGCAAGGAGGATAGAAATGGTCCTAGAAGGGGCAACGTGGGGTCAGGGACAGGGGGCTGCCCAGGAGGGGGCTGCCCAGGGTGGCCTTGGCCTCCTGGTTGCAAGAAGAGTTGGTGCCTGTTAATAAAGAGCTGCAGGCATAACATGGAACAGGTATTTTTCATCAAGTATTGAACTTTAAGTCCTTACAGAATATGATAAAAAACTTTTAAAAGTTAGAATATATTTTAAAAATAGGCATAAAGAATTATATACTTCTTATGTTTACACATAAGTCCAAAAATCTAACCATATACAACCTTGAAGCAGGACAGTCCCACAATATTCCTTTTCCTGTCTCTTGCTTTCATTCACCACCCCCTTCTTTTTGAACAACCATCTACCCGAGAGACAGCAATCTGAGGTGCAGGATCTCAGGATAAATCCTGAGAGGATTTCACTGACTTTATCAGACCCAAAAGCTACAACTCTTGTTGCATAGGTCCTGCTTTACCTTGGTCTTAACCATCCAGCAGAAAAGTATAAAAACGAAATATAAGAAGTAAAGCCATGTTGTTATGTTGAGCTGTAGGGGACTCAGGTCAACAATTTCTGACATTGCCAGTGAAGCGGAAGCCCCAATACTATTATGGGCTACTGGACTCTTTTAGAATATTTTGCTGTTTACACACCTATAATATTCAAATAATGAAACTTAACAAAAAAAGGGGATACAGATGAATGTCCATTTTGTATCTGCGTATTCAAAGTGGTTAGGATAGATATATAGTTACATTCTCTTAATGAATAGAGGGATTTGTTCTAATAGCGTTTGTAAATAGGATATCATGTCCACATCTTGTACAGCAAATAACCACTAGGAAGAATGTATGCAATGTGTTAATTATTGAAACTGTCCTATCAATTTGGTTTGAAACTGTCTCATTGCTATTTGTTTTTCAACAAAATTATGGAGAAAAACAAAAAACAAAACAAAAAAAAAAGAGCTGCAGGGCAGGTGGAGCTGCTGGCAGGGCCTGCTGGGGGGGGGGGGACAAGTAATTGGCCTCCCTCCTGGTTTAATGCTCTGCTCCTGTGCGCTCTCCCAGATGTTTTTCTGTTGCCATGGCGGCTGGGGCAGGGGTAATGGTGGTGGAGCAGGGACGGAGAGGCCAGGGAAGGCTTTCTGCTCTCTTTTAATACCCATTACAGGTGCTTCCCTTTTTTGGGTGCATCTGGAGCACTTTGGTAATGGGTTTTTTAACTTTTCCTTCATCTTCACCCAGGCTGGCTTTCACTCACCTCCAAGCTTAGTGGCAACTCAGAGTATGAAGATAAACCTGTATCCCAAGCGTGGGGCTGGGAAGCCATTTGCTCGCACAGAAATTAGTGTGTCTGTGTGTGTGTGGGGGGGGGGAATGAAACTGGGGAGAAGACAAGGAGGAGGAAAGTGTGATGAGACAAAGGGTTCTTCACGGGTCGCTTGTTGGGAGGCTCACTTGTATAGGAGTCATATTGACTGTAAAACCCTTTAAGGAAATAGCTCGCAAATTCTGGATTTAAAGTATGTATGTAACAATATATAAAATGGAGATTCTCTCCCCAGGCTAATTTTTGAGGAGCGAGGCATCTGCAGGAAGCTTTAGATTCTTACTGGGGGGCGAGGGAGAGGACATAACGGGCATAACCATGGGAGGCCTGCAGAGACAGCAGGAAGCTCCCATCTGTGCCTGGCTTTCCTGGGCTAGCGCTGCCGTTGGGCCTTGCCAGTCTGCAAGAAGTTACAGCAGGCTGTGCTGCCAGGTGCTGCTGGCTCTGGTCCCTTGCCAGGGACCTGGTGGCCCGCACTGTCTGGGATCGTGGCTGGTGGACATCTGCAGAGTGGTTTGCTTTCCAGGCCTTTTTGTATCGTAAGGGGTGCGCTGGCTATGCTGTCCACTTGCTTGATGCTGCTGTTCCATTTCTCGGGGTTTATGGGTCCCCCTGCCAAATAAAACAGCTTACTGGGCTCTGATTCTTGCCACATGTTCATTTGGAATCTCGTCTGCATGAGAGCCAGTTTGTAAAGTGTCACCTGCCTCTCACCCCAGTCAGCAGCAAGCAAAAGCAGACATGCCGGAAGCCGGACTGCTGTGGTAGCTCTAAGCCCAGAAGCTCGGGCAGGAAGTTTTCTCCAGGGCTGAGCGAACACGACAAAGACCTAGTCATTCACTCGATAAATACTTGCTAGGCATTTGTCAGGCCTGGCCCTGGTAAGATGGGCGCTCCGAGGCCACAGTGAACAAGACAGAGCGGGGCCTGCCCTTGGGGAGCCTTGGTTCGGTTTAACAGGAGAGAGAGACGAAGCAGGATCCATGGGTGGACTGGTCCAGGAGATGCTGTGACCAGTGCAGGGAAGAAAGGCAGACGGGGGGCTGGGGAGGGGACCGCAGGAAAGCCAGGCCTTGCTCAGCAGAGGGGCAGGACTCCTTGGGGGCAGAGTACCGAAACTGAGGCCAGGAGGACAGGGGACCCAGCCGTTCAGAAAACCAAGATAGAGGAGGCGCTCAGATGGACTGTCCCAGGTGGAAGAGCCCGCCTGCTAGTCCAGGGCAGGGGACAGTGGCAGAGCGTGGTATTTCGTTGGGGAGGGGTGTCAAGGAGTAAAGTCTCTTGCCTAACTCTTCTCCCTTTTACAAATGTTTTCCTCTTCACATTGATGTAAATAAATAAATAAATAAATAAATAAATAAGAGCCTACATCTGACCGAAAGGGAACAGTCCCAACACTGCCCGCATCCAACAGAAAACAGATTTTGCACCACTAGGACCTCACTTCAATATGGCGGCCAGTGCTTGTTTGACTTCAAGGTTAATTAATACCCCCTTCAAAACATAACAAAGTCATTTCATTTGCTTTATAAAAGGACTTGCCAGCTGTTGTTAAAATAAGTTGTTGCACATGGACAAAACTAACATGTTCTTTATAATTATTCCCTTTTAGGTGAACTGGGCGGTGAAAACCTCAAAGTGTAAGTTGTCTCCAGTGATTCCAATCGAGCTCTCTGGGGGCCTTGCAGTTTGGGAGAAGGTGGGGGTTGGGCCTTTGCCCGCATCTCTGCCCTGACCCCTGGCTGGCCCTCCTGCTTCTGTCCCATGTCCTGGAAGGAGCAGATGTGTCTGGGTCTCCAAACCTTATCAGGTGGTCTCTGCTCTTTGGAGGAGGGACAGTAGCTATTCTCCTTTCACCCACTCAGAGGAGAATGCAGGGTAGTTACACGTGCTGGCCCTGGGTGCGGGTCAAGGCTGTTGGTTGTCTGTTCTCAGTAAGCATCCGTCAGCAAGGGAAGCTGGTGTTCCAGAGGAGAGCCCTGAGAGAGGCAGAGGGCTTCAACCTGCAAAAGGGACGCACTTGGGTGGAAAGGATGGAAGGTAGAGTAGAGAGGGAAGGAGGGAGGGAGGGAGGGAAGGAGGGAAGAATCGAGGTATCGAGGTTAGGAGAGGAGGAGGAAAGGGGTGAGGGCAGGCAGGTAAGGAGAAGAAAGGGTGGGGAGGGGAGGAAGAGAGAAAGAGAGTGAGAGAAGAAGAAGAAGAAGAAGAAGAAGAAGAAGA